TTCCACTGTGTCAGGCTTTCTGGTAGGTACTTCCTTGAGGGGTCACATCCTCCTCCTATGAGAGGACCATTCACACCCCCATGAGGAAACCCACTGCAGGAGAATGCCCAGAGTTCAAAGCCGTAAATTACGAACCAAACTCCAGTCACTCAACCTGTTTCTCAGTGCCTATTTCCCTTGACATTAGTCAGCTGTGCCCCAGGACACGTGGTTCCTCCCTTCCCCCAGGTACGAACACAGCTTTCATCTCCTAGCAGAGGACCAGCCCAAGCAAGGAGGAGCCTGTCTCTGAGAGCAATACTTCTCTAGTTTTAGGCCTGGGACCACCCTCAACCCAAGTCTACGGAGGGAAGCGAACCCCTAATCTCTCCCACAGCCAACCACTCCATCCTCATACCTCCTACCCACCAATGACCCCGCCATTTGCCCCAAAGACCCCCTTATCCCTGGACCCTGAATACTGGGCAGAGGAGAGGAACAAACAGTCAAGACAACATAGTTTACTTTTTCCAATATTTTTATTAATCAAATATTATAAAATAACTATCATCCACAAATGCCCAAGCACCTAGCTAGTCCTCTCACCCCTAAGTCCTGAAGCCATGCCCTCCTTCGCCCCTTTTGCTGCTCTGCTCCTGTTTGCCCCTGATCCTACTGGGAGAAGGATGGGGCAGAGCTGGAAGCAGCAAGGTCGGCACAAGGCAGACAGCTACAGCTTCACTGGACAACACTGGAAGGGGTCGGCTCTCAGATGCCCGGCCGTCTTCCCCGCCCACTCTTCAGATCACTTCCCATAGTCCATTCTGCCCTTCCCCTACTACTAAGGGCTTGGCCCTTCCCCCACCAGGATCCCTGCGTACCTTTCCAGCCCCAGCCCACCCCCTGAGCTCCCCTGGGATGAGGACTTTTGACCCAGGAGCTCCTCAGAGCACCCTAGAAGAGGGCACGGAGCCCAGGGGAAGGTTGTCCTGAGCCTGAACCTCACAGCAATGAGAGGTGCAGGCTGGTGGGAGGGGGGGAGGGGAGTAAGGGTAGAGAGAAGTTTTATTTCCATGCCCAGGACCTCTAAAATCCCCTACCTCCAATACCCCCAAAACCCCCAACAAGTTCCAAGCAGAAGCTCTCAGCTCCGAGCAACAGGGCTCTCCATCTTCACACTCTTGGCTGCTTCTCCAATCAGCTCCCAGAAGCTTCCAAACTCCAGTTTCGAGTCATTACAGTTGCCCAGGTTGGCAATTTTCTCTTCTAGCCCACAGTTGCTCTGAGAACAGGAAAGACACCACAACTCAGCAAGACAGCCGCTCCAAATCTTCCTGCCCCACCCTGGCCTAGGGCGAATAGGAGGACCAGAGCCTACCGGGGCATTGGCAAAGAGAAAGGCAGGGGGTAACCAGGGCCAGGTGGGTGGGGTCTTGGAGCACCAGCTTGGGAAGTCAAGGGTCTGGGTGGGGTGGGGTTCACTCCCTCAGTACCGGCATGAGGTGAGGCAGCTGCTGGGTAACCAGGTCTCGGAGTTCAGTAGGGGTCAGCGTCTCCTTTCCTCCCTCCACCGAGTACTGATGGAAGTTCTTGATGAGAGTCTCAATGGCCCTCTCTACATCACTGAATTCTTGGGCATCCTGAAGATAGGAGACACAGGCCGTGTCAGGAGGACCCACCCACCCTGCAGAACCCTTCTCAGGAGTCTTGGAAAATCACCAGGATAGAAAGCTCTTGAGTCCAGAATCCTGCCCCCACTCCTTCTTTACCTACCCAGCCCCCAGGCCACAGTGACCTCTGCCCTAAGCCACAGATTAGGTAAGCCTCACCACCCCAAATCCTAGGCAGGGCAGGCCCCAGCATGTGCCTAGACATCCTATTTCCAAAAGAACTCCATTTGCATCACCCTGTGGAACCCTAGGGAGGAGATTTGGGGCTTTCTGGGAGTATCTCCAGGGCAAGGCCTAGAAAAGAAGCAGAAGTCATGGGGGGCATGAATCCCCATAAGAAGAAGAGAAGAGCATAGGAACAAAAAGACCAGCCAGATGAATGGGCCCACCTCAGCGTTGGCTGACCGACACTGTCCCATGGTGTCTGGTACACTGGTCCTCCGGTGAGTTATTTTTGTCGTCTGTCCTATAGCCTGCCCCACAGGAGCTGATGGCTCATGATCTGCCTAGAGCAGGGAGGACTGAGTGAGGGGAGAGAGAGAGCTCATCATTCTCTTTCTCATGCCCGTTTTTGGCTTCACCCAACATATACATTCACCTAAGCCATTGGAGTCTACACCCCACAGATCCGGTCCCTGTCCAAACTCCAGCAGCTAAGGGCACAGCCCCCAGGCCAAGCCACTCAGAGGGAACCCCCCTGGGCCTCATTCTTCCCACCTCCTCCAGCCAACCCTGAGAAACTTGGGCTAGAGAGACATGGAGTACTCCCTGAGGAGAGACAGCCCATCTAGGTTGAAGGAGCTGGGCTTTCTTACCTGCTGGCAGCTGCAGAGACAGGATGGAGGAGCCAGCTCACCTGAGCTCAGCTCTTATACCTGGGGGAAGGGAGGGGCAGGCAGGGGCAGGGCCAGGGCCAGGGCCAGGGCCTTATCCCTCAGCCACCCCAACTATTGCAGCCTCCTGGGCTGGGAGCCAGCTTTGTGTGCCCCACCCTCCCTCTAGAGTTCTAGACTCAGTCACCACCCAGACAGCGAAGAGGAAGTCATGGAGGGCTGGGTATGGGATACCCCTGGCACAAGACCGCCTTGCAGGGTCACGGGGAGAGGAGAGAAGAGAATGAAGACAAGGGGTGCAGAAGGAATCACACCTGGGAGGGAGGGAACCTAGCAGCCAGGAGGCAGGGAAGAAGGGGGAGTCTCCAGGGAGAGGAGAAGGAAGGGTTGCTCAGGGTGGGTTTGCTGATGAGGAGCCTGAAAGAGATCCCAGGGTCTCTGTGCTTTGACTCTTCTCTCCTCTCCCTCCCAACCAGAGCTAATTTGGCTAGGAACGCTGGGCCTGCTGAAACCCAGAGCCAAGCCAGTCCTGACAGCATACAGATGAAAGGGCTGAAAGGAAGGCCAGAGCAGTGCACTCTGGGACTGGGAACCAAGTGCTCTGAGCCTTCACCTGATGTCCTGCCAGCGCCTTGCAGCAGCCCAGGGTACACATGTGCAAGGCTCAAAGGCGTTCCCTGGCAAGTAACAACCTCTCCAAACTGGTTGGGCTACTACCTCCTCCCGCCCTCAAAAATTCTACCCCCCCTTCCCTGAATAGCATGTCAACACCAGCCCTCCAATCTACTACCCAGGAACCCCCAGGTGAGTCTAAACTGTTCTTCATGGGACTATGACCAACCCAACTACCCTCCTCACCTGCCCAGGACCTAGGACCTATAGTCATGGGGAAGGACAGACCATGGTGAAAAGACTGGGGGTCAATAGAAGGAATGCATGGGCCTAGAGTCAAAATTCCCTTCTAAGGCTGACTTCAGAGCACATATCCAGCCTCTCTTCTGTGTCACCTGTTGGAGGTCTCAGTCGGGGACCCTTCCACAACAGTGGCATTTAGAGAGCTCCTCTGAGGGCTTCTCTGGAGACTCTACAAGGGTCTCGCCATCAGAGAGCTTCTCAGAGTCCTCAGCCTGGGTTCCCACTGAGGAGTCTGGAAATCTCTCAAATTCTCTGCCAACATCCCCTCGGAGAGCCCGGGGATGCCTTCGGAGGTCCCTCTGGGGCCTCTTTCCTGGTACATGATGACTAATTTGTCTCTGCTGATCTTCCTCTGGCTAACTAGCTGCCCCAAGTGGACACCCACAGGAACAGCAGTGGCAACCCAAGAGGCATACACCATTGCCACACCCCTACCCTCTCTAGCGGTGAGTTGTACAAACCACTTGCCCCTCAAGTCAGAAAGCAGGGTGGGGACAACTGTGTCCCTAAGTGCTCTCTCTCCCTGTCATATTTGAGTAGCATTTCTCCAGGCCAGCTCTAGCTTTGTTACCTTAACCTCCCTAAAAATGTTTCCTCAAAGCCAGGAGAGGTAACACACCTGCTATCGACCCCAGTGCCTGTGAGGCTGAGGAAGGAAGATTGCTGAAGACAGTGAGACTCTATCTCAAAACAGTGACAAGGGGGCTGGAGAGGTGGCTCAGCAGTCAGGAGCACCGACTGCTTGTCTTTCAGAGCACCACACGGCAGCTCACAACTATCTGTAACTCCAAGATCTGACAGCCTCACACAGACACACATGTGTGCAAATCACCAGTGCACAGAAAATGAAAATAAATATTAAAACAATAACAACACAAGAAGAAAGGAAAAAGCTAAAAGAGGGCTGGGGGTATGACTCCTCCCAATGGCCTAACATGTGCAAGATCTTAAGTTAATCCTCAACACTCAAAAGTTAATTGAATTGATTAACCTTAACCGCCATGAGAGTTAACGAGGGTAATATGGGTAAAAGGTTTAGCAGGTATTCGTATTATCATTATCAACCAAAGAACAAACTCCAGGAATTATATGGGGAAAACTGGGAGCTGAAGCCATGGAGCTGAGCCCTAGGAGCTGCCTGCCTCAAATCTCTGTTGTTTTTTTTTGTTTGTTTGTTTTTGTTTCGTTTTGGTTTTTCGAGACAGGGTTTCTCTGTGGTTTTGGAGCCTGTCCTGGAACTAGCTCTTGTAGACCAGGCTGGTCTCGAACTCACAGAGATCCGCCTGCCTCTGCCTCCCAAGTGCTGGTATTAAAGACGTGTGCCACCACCGCCCAGCTCTCTGTATTTATTGAGCACCTACTTAATACAAGGCCTACGCCACACATGCTCAAGGACCTAAGTTCTGTCCTTAACCCCAAAGGGGTGAAAACCATCACACAGTCGGCAGGATGCTAGATGCTGTGGGATATGAGAGGATGAATCTCATTCCTTGCCTTCAAAGCGTCTTTGATTTTCATGTTTTCACCTCAGGTAAAGACAGAGCTTTCCCACTTCCTGGTGTCCAGAAAAGGAATCTGGGTAGAGTATAAGAACATGCATCTGTGTTTCAAGAAGGAAGCTTTATTAGGGGGAGTGACGTTCTGCCCGGCCCTGCCCAGCAGGCCCTGCTGGGCCCCCATCCCAACAAGCAGGCTTTACTTCTTCTGACAAGCAGGCTTTATTTCTTCCGGATCTCCAGGGCTTTCTCCTTCCTGATTTCCTTTGCCAGTTCCCCAATCAGTCTCCAGTACTCATTGAACTTTAGCTCCGAGTCCTGGTTCACATCCAAGCTCTTCATCTTCTCATCCAGAGAGCCCACGTCCTAAGATGTAAAAGGGTTAGAAACTAGCAGGAAGAGAGAAGTACCATCAGGCGCTTCCCTCAAACAGCACCAACACCGGCACGAAGGGTGAGGCTACGGACCCAGGACTGCACTGCCGGAGGTCCCATAGCGAGGGACACAGGCAGACAGTGCGGCTGATCATAAACTACCCTCGTCCTCCACAATCCACTCCTGCTCATCTGCATCATCCTAATATCTCCTCAATTTTGTCATCACCTGCCAGGTCAGAGGAATAGCAAAAATGCTGGGTTATCTGGTTTACTAGGGTGCTCTTGACAAAACATCTCAGGGCTATAAGAGCAATGTCTTCTGTAAGCCTGACTTCATGATAAAAGGATTTGTTGCCAGATAAACAATTACAACCATAAATGTCACTACTGAATAACTCACGGATGTCTAATGGAAAGATGTCTCACATAGAGCTTGATTCTCAAGACTGAGGTTTTGGGGAGCTAGATTCATTCATTTTATTTTGTATGTGTGAGCATTTTGCCAACATGTGATATGCATGCATGTATACCACATATATGCCTGGTGCCCACAGAGGTCAGAAAAGAATTGTCTTAGGGTTTCAATTACCATGAAGAGACACCATGACCACGGTAACTCTTATAAAGGAAAACATTTAATTGAGGTGGCAGCTTACAGTTCAGAGGTTCAGTCTATTATCATCATGGCAAGGAGCATGGTGTCATGCAGGCAAACATGGTACTGGCTACATCTTGATCAGAAGGCAACAGGAAGCAGACAGTCTCACTGGGCATGGCTTGAGCATATATGAACCCTCAAAGCCCGCCTCCACAGTGACATATTTCCTCCAACAAAGCCAAAAAGTGCCACTCCCTTTGGGGGCCATTTTCTTTCAAACCACCCAAGGATGCTATCTGAAGAGAAGTTACAGATGGATTTGAGCTACTATTTGGGTGCTGGGAACTGAATCTAGGTCCTTTGCAAGAGCATCTCTCCAGCGCCCATGCTCAACATTTGGGTCAACATCTTGACAAAGATCTGCCAAACAAATCTCTAGATGACACGTAGCAAATTCATAGAGGCCTTTAGTTTTGTTTAGTTTTGGGAGTGTTTTGATTTGCTTTGTTTTTTAGCAGAGTCGTAAGCTCACTCATTCATTGCACAGCGCTTCTACTACCAGTGGAAGGGAAGGTGGCAGGGCCATCCCTTAGGTCCTGGACTACAGGCATTGTGATATTATACTATCTTTTATTTCATTTGATCCTCGTGATCCACTAGAATGACAGCTTCTGTGGCACAAGGACCTTGTCTGCCTTGTTCAACATTATACTTTTAATCCCAACACTCGAGAGGCAGAGGTACGCAGATCTCTGTGAGTTCGAAGCCAGCCTGGTCTTCAAGAGCTAGTTCTAGGACAGGTTCCAAAGCTACAGAGTAAACCCTGTCTCAAAAAACCAAGAAGAAAGAAAGAAAGAAAGAAAGAAAGAGGCCGGGCGATGGTGGCGCACGCCTTTAATCCCAGCACTCGGGAGGCAGAGGCAGGCGGATCTCTGTGAGTTCGAGACCAGCCTGGTCTACAAGAGCTAGTTCCAGGACAGGCTCCAAAGCCACAGAGAAACCCTGTCTCGAAAAACCAAAAAAAAAAAAAAAAAAAGAAAGAAAAAGAAAAGAAAGAAAGAAAGAAACCTAAACCCCAGAGAGGCCAGGTACTGGCACCAAGCACAGATGAACAGCTAGAAACTGTATTTGAGTCCAGGTTGCTTTTTCTTTTTTATTTTATCTTAAATGTATGCATGCTTTGTACCATGTGTGTGCCTGGAGCCTGCTGAGGTTGAAAGAGGGTGTGGACCCCCAGAACTGGAGAGTGAACAGTGATGAGCCACCATGCTGGCAGTGGAACAGAAACCTGGTCCTCTGGATGGGAAGTCAGTGCTCTTAACCATTAAGCCAAAGATCCAGCACAAACCCAGATTTTCTAAATCAGGGCTCCATTTTTAGCTACTGCTCTGTGTCTTTCTCCCCTGTCTGCACCTGCCCCCACCACAAAAAAAAAAAAAAAATAGAAATGATGCAAATGATGCAGGCCTGTTGGTGCTAGACAGTAACCACAGCTGCCTGGAGATGAGGCTGCAGGATCCTCAGCTCAAGGGCTATTTAATGAGTGTGTGTTTCCAAAACAAAAGGGGAGGGAGCTAAAGAGACATCTCAGTTCTTGGGAATTTACCTAACATGCAAGAGGACCTGGCTTTCAATCTCTAGTGCCATACACACAAAAACTATTACTAATAGGTAAACTTGGCATAGTGGCTTGTAATTTTAGCATTTGGAAGGTGGAAGCAGGAAAATCAGAAATTCAAGATCGTTCATAGCTACATAGCAAGTTTGAGGCGAGCCTGGGCTACATATTAAGCCCATGTTTCAAAAATAATTTTAATAGCTTTTAGTTATAAGACCAGAGGGCTGGAGAGATGTCTCAGTGGTTAAGAGCACTGGCTGCTCTTTCTAAGGGTCAGAGTTCAGTACCTAGCACCCATATGATGCTAACAACAGTCTATAACTCTAGTTCCAGGGGATCTGATGCCCTCTTCCAGCCCCCACCAAGACTGTACACACGGGGCACAGACATGCATGCTGGCAAAGCACCCACACACATCAAATAAAGGCAGTAAGTATTAAAAATACAGAAGCAGAAGCTTTCTGTGCTGATGGCACTCCCAAGAACATCTTGAAGTTTCTAAGACCTGTCTGACTTTCACAAGAAATATGGCAAGCATGAACCCAGTCTTGATCGCCCTCTGACACCCCCCAGATTGCTTAATAAAGTTATACCTTGGAGCCGGGCGATGGTGGCGCATGCCTTTAATCCCAGCACTCGGGAGGCAGAGGCAGGCGGATCTCTGTGAGTTCGAGACCAGCCTGGTCTACAGAGCTAGTTCCAGGACAGGCTCCAAAGCCACAGAGAAACCCGGTCTCGAAAAACCAAAAAAAAAAAAAAAAAAAAGTTATACCTTGGAATAGGGGGTGGAGCCAGTGACTAGCTGACCAGAATTGGCCATAGGGAAGCCAAACAGAGAGAGTGAAAGATGGAAGAGAGGTAGTGTCAAAAGGTTCATTAAAATAAATGAGTTAATTTAAGTTATAAGAGCTAGTTGGGGGGCTGGAGAGGTGGCTCAGAGGTTAAGAGCGCTGATTGCTTTTCCAGAGGTCCTGAGTTCAATTCCCAGCAACCACATGGTGGCTCATAGCCATCTGTAATGAGATCAGGTGCCCTCTTCTGGCCAGCAAGCATACAGACAGACAGAACACTGTATACATAATAAATAAATAAATCTTTAAAAGAAGAAGAAGAAAGAAGAAAAAGAGCTAGTGGGACCAGCCTAAGCTAATGGCCAAGTTTTTATAATTAATAAGACTCCATGTAATCATTTGGGAGCTGGCTGGCAGGACAGAAAAAGACTCACTACGCCCCACAAAGTGACACAGTACAGAAAAGCAAGGATTCTCCGTGTGCCCCAGGAAAATGGCTCTATGACGGGCTATGGTGGGCAGACTAAGCACACTTTCCTCAAAAATGTTAAAACTACCAAGAAGATTTCACCGCCAGTGCTTGGTGTTGAGTCTGTTATGGATCTAAGAGGATGCTGGCTCTTAACATATAAAAGCATTTTGAGTTGGAAGGTAAAAAGAGGAGAAAGGGCCAAGTAATGGAGTTCTTAGCTGGTTCTGTCATGAATTCCAGCACACTGTACTAATACAGATGACCCAGAGGAAGGAAACTGACAGTGCAGGGGAGAAAGGAATCGCTGCAGGAACGAGCGTTCTAAGTAGGTAAGAGGGGGGATGGGATCCAGGACACCAGCAGAGAGCTGACCTTAGCCTCATGGACAGCTCATTTGTGAGCACAGCAAGGAAGGCACAGTATATGCTGACCCAGTAGAAGATCTGGGGATGGGCGAAGCACATAAAACCTTCTTGATTGTTTATTTTCAAAGCGAGTCGATTTCTTGGTGGCAGCGAGAATGTGGAAAGAGGAACTGGACTCCGAGGAAGGAAAAGTTCTGGCCTGACCATCCACAGGGGATGCAGAATTGCTCATTATGGCCAAGGGCACTTTGGAGTTTGGAGTTACAACTCCGGCGAAACAAGCCGACCTGGCTGTGTGTGCTCCCCTAGGTAGGTAGAGTCAGCTCTCCAAGTGCAGACACGGGGGAGGATTGAGGCAGAAATGGAGGCCTGTGGGGGTCCTGACTGACAAAATAGGGACAGGATCAAGGGGCTCACAAGCATGATTGGAATGATGTCATGTTATTATAGAACATGAACCAATCGAGAAGAGCCACGAGGAGCTGAGTGGATGGGAGGAAATGAAAATAGAGCAGTCAAGAGACTGCAGGTCCTGATGAAGTCAAGACACTCACGAATGGATCCTACTGACACTGCCCAGGCCAAAACAAGAGAGCTTCAAAGGACTTCAAGGTTACCTTGAACTAGACAATTTTTTTTTAACCCTGTCCCAAAAACACAAAAAGGAGAGCTGGAGAGATGGCTCACCAGTTAAGAGCACTTGCTGCCCTTGTAAAGAACATGGGTTTTTGTTCCCAGCACCTGTGTGGCAGTTTACAGGCATCTGTAACTCCAGTTCCAGGGGTCCAAAGCCCTCCTCTGGCCTCCTTGGGCACCAGGCACACACATGTTGCACATACATACATATAGGCAATCCTATACATAAAATTAAAAGAATAATAAATCTTTAAAAACACACACACACACAAATTAACCAGAAGAAGAAGAGGAGGAGAGGAAGAGGCTGGGGAGTAGTGCATGACTTTGATCCCAGCACTCGGGAGGCAGAGGCAGGCGGATCTCTGTGAGTTTGAGGCCAGCCTGGTCTACAAAGTGAACTCTAGGACAGCCAGGGCTATACAAAGAAACCCTGTCTCAAAAAAACGAAATAAGTAAGTAAATAATAAAAAGAAAAAAAAAACAAAATATGTGGCTTCAAATGGTGGTATATTCCTTTAACCCTAGCATTCACTGTAATCCCAGTCCCCGGGGATCTGTCGCCCATTTCTGACCCTGCAGGCACCAGGATAGGTGCACTACATGTGCATACAAAATCTGTTTAAGAATGAACACAAAAGCAAGAAGTGGAATAACAGAGGGTGATCAGACAAACGGAGGCGGAGGAGGTTTTGAAAGCCCCAGGAGCTGGAGGGTCGGCACGTTTTCTGGCTCATGCCACACAGACGTTTGAATCGAATACTGAAATGGCTGCTGGAGTAAGGACTGTTGAGTGGAACGCTGCGGTGCACCGCAGATCTTTAGAAGAGAGAAATGTAATGAACTGATTTTGCTTTGTTTTGGTTCCGGTTTCCCCGTGTAGCCCTGGCTGTCCTGTAACTTGTGCTATGGCCTAGACTGGACTGGAATACAGAGTCTGCCTGCTTCTGAGGGCTGGGATTAACAATGTGTGCCCAGCAGGTCTCTGTTTCAGTTCCCAGCACCTACATGGCAGTTCATAACCACCTGTGACTCCAGTTTCAGATGACCTGATGATACCCTCTGCTGGTTTCTATAGGCACCAAGCACACAAATGTTGCACACAGATATAACTGCAGGCAAAACACCCATACATGTAAAATAAAAATGGAAAAAATATGAATCCATATTCATGTTGGGACTGGTGGCACACACCTGTAATCTCGGCACTTGTGAAGTAGAGGCGGGAGAATCAAGAGTTGAGGCCACCCTTAGCTACTACATGAAACCATCTTTAAGAAAAGAGTTCAGCCGGGCGGTGGTGGCGCACGCCTTTAATCCCAGCACTTGGGAGGCAGAGGCAGGAGGATCTCTGTGAGTTTGAGACCAGCCTGGTCTACAAGAGCTAGTTCCAGGACAGGCTCCAAAACCACAGAGAAACCCTGTCTCGAAAAACCAAAAAAAAAAAAAAAAAAGGAAAAAAAAGAAAAAGAAAAGAGTTCAAAAGCTCGGCATGGCAGTATAATCACAATCCCAGACCTGGAGAAGCTGAGGCAGGCTAGGCCAGCCCAGACTACATAGCAAGTTCCAGGTTTTCAGACCCTGTCTCAAAAAAACAAAAAAACCCAAAAAAACAAAAACAAAAAACTCCATATTCACATACTCTTTTTCGTTGTTGTGTTTTAAGACAGGGTTTCTCTGTGTAGCCCTGGCTGTCCTGGAACTTGCTCTGTAGACCAGGCTCACCACAAAGTCAAAGATTCTGCCTGCTTCCGTCTCCCGAGTACTGGGACCACAGCTATCTCCATATACTTTTATGTGCCTGTGGATTTTCATAAAGGATTAAAATAAACTGTTAACAGACTAGAATAGCAAACAAACTCAGAATCGACAAATCAGAAGCCCCAGTCACTTCTGTAGAATGAGCCTAACTGAGGAAACCCTCATAGGCAGCTGAAGTAATCAAAGAAGCTCCTCATAGACCCGGGTACACTGAGAGCATAGCTCCCTATGACGTTATGTCTTGTTTGTTGAGAACGGGTCTCCCTAACCTGGTTTCAGCCTCCTGAGTGCTGGGCTTACAGACACACAGGCAGGCGGCACCATGTCTGGGTGCAGTTTGATTTTTTTTTTAAGCCTTCTTCTAGTTCTTACTGTAAATCTCTGGGAATCCACCTCTGGGTTCAGCAATGTGTTGAGAAAATGAGACTAGAGAGACACAGGCAGACTCAAGCACTCAAGGGCATTGTCCAACAGGAGGACAGACCCCAACAAGAACACATTCCCATTTATACATCATAGCATCTTTGCTCATGGAGTTCACATACGTGCGTGCACACACACGGGCACACACATGCACACGCGCGCACACACGGCAGGGAAGCACAGAACCACCTACACACACAGCACTCACAATCTTTTCCGTCACCCTATCTATTCAGGGTCATCACCTGGCATACACAGAAAGCTCAGTCCCAGAGACCTCTACCAACCTTTAGCAAATGAGGCAACTGCTGGGTGACCAGTTCCTTAAACTCATTGAGGCTCAGGCTGCCTTTCCGTCCTTCCCGCCCTGCAAAGGTGAAGAAAGTGGTGACCACAGTCTCGATGGCCGCCTCCAGTTCACTCAGTGGCTCTGCTGCCATCAGTACTGCAAAGCAGGAGCTGATGTCCTCACAAACCAACCTGATGGGAAGAAAGAGACCAAGAGAGTTAGGGATCCAAGAACGGGTGAGGTGACTGCCTGGGCGGGTCAGCGTGGAAAGATGAAGGGTCCAGAACAGGCAGCGGTATTTAGTTTGCATTCACTTCCAGAAGTTATTTTTCTCTGACTCTCCCGTCTGTGTGTCCTTCTCAAGTGTCTGTCTTAGGGACACCTCTGTAGTGGTCTCTCTCTCTTTGGAGGTTTTTCTTTGGAGTCTTCTGAGTGTGGTAACACCAGGTATAGGGTCTCTGCTCTAATGGCCCTTTCTTGTTGTCATTCCCTGTCTTAGGGTCAGGAAGCTGTTTGTCTCCAATGCTTATTTTTGTTGAGTCTCCACCCTCCCACAGACTAGCTGCTGTTCCTAGTAGAGCAGCCTAGGGTTGGCAAAGGCCCAGCTGAGGTCAGGTCTGGTTCAATCGGGCCAGACCCATCTTCTCTGCTCCACACCCACCTTGTCTAAGGCGGTCAGAGGGTGCTCAGCCCCAGACCCCACCGGCCTTCCCCACTCCTGCCCATGGTTGACAAGGTCCAGAAAGGGACTCTTCAAACTCCTCAGACCCATAGCTCACAAACTATTTGGCATGGACACCCAGTGTCCCTGGGGCTCCAGGAAGGGAAGAAATTCGTCTGCTGATGCCCCTCATTTCTGTTCACCCACCCACAGACTCCTGCAAGGACCTTTGCCTGCTTTCCGAAAGTCACTTCCTGAATCTCTGCCCGAATGAATTCACTTGGAAGGAGGAACCTGAAAACTGATAAAGAAAAGAAGGTCTCCTCCAGGCTCTCTGCAGAGTCAGGCAGAGTAACTCACCCGGGGAAAGGAGGTGGGATGCGGCGAGCTGAGCTGGAGCCTCGAGGCTGAAGTTTTTAAGCACTAGGGAAGAAGAGAGCCACTCCCAAGTCCGAAGTGTCAAGTTTCCGCCTCCGCTGATTCGGAAAAGAGGGGACCGCCCCTGCTGTCACTAGCCATCCCAACACTGCGCCACGCGACCAGGACACAGCCTGATGAGGAGGGATCAGAGGGTCCCATCACACCCCATTACGGTGGCTAATCAGGAATCTTGTCAGAAGGGCTGCTACTGTTGTTGTTTAGAATAATTAAAATAAAAACAGTTGGGGAATTCAGTACTGGAAAGCCCGGTCTCAGAAACCAGAGACCCTGCAAAAGACCCTACAGTCCAAAGACACTCGGAAAGCCCCAGGCTGAGGTCCCCATAATGAAATCCCAACTGAAATTCTTCGCTGAGCTCCGAGACAGAAGTCCCTCACGGAGGCGCATAGACTAAGCAACCCTGGGCAGAATTTTCCCCTTTCCCTGCTCAGCCCGCACCACTGCACACTCCCCAGGGCTTCTCTTCCACCTCCTTCCTGCTGGGCTCGGGGAGGGGGTGCAACCAAGAAAAACATAGGGCAGCCAGTTGCCGCCCGGGAGACAGAGGGCGCCTCTGTCCACTCCTGGCCCCTGGCCCTTGACGGTGTCGTTTGTGAAGGGGTGGAGCCGGCGGGGAGGAGGGTCGGCAGGGAAAGACAGCAAAAGACAGGTTTCCCCTCACCGCTCCAGGTGCCACATTTGCAGCCTGCCTGTCTGTTGAGAACTTGCTGCCACCTCAGGCCCAGTCAACCGTGAGTACCCTACCCTGACTAGGATATGTCCCTGGCTTAGCCAGTCTGGAGAAAAGGGGGCCTCAGAAAGACCCCCAAGAGTCCTAGAAAAGGATACAACGGTGCCACGAGGGTCTGGCAAGGGTCTGAGGGAGTCAAGGGAAAGGGCGTTTGGGATCTAGGAGAGATAAGGTTTGGAAAGCGGGGAGAGGAGGTGAGTGAAGGTCAGAGGACTAAGAGCTTGTGAATGAAGACGCCACCCAACTCCCAGGCCACCAGACCTTCCTATACAGGACCCTGTGCTTCTTGCCAGACACCACAGTCTAGATGTGGAGAGGGAGGAGAGGCAGCCCTGCTCCTTTAGGGTAAGAATAAGAAAGGCTGTTCCTGCCCCCTGGCCAGCCTCAGTCTCTGGCATCCCTAACCAGCCTTGTCAAGAACAGGATCCCAGGGAAGTCTGGGAGCAGCAGGGCATAGGCCATGGGACATCATGAAAAGGGGGTCTGTGGCACTGTGCCCTGTCCCATCTCTGCCTTCACAAAACCTCCTCCTTATTCCTATATTTTCAACCTTGAACCCCACTTCTCTCTCCCCACATTTTTTCCTCTTTATTTCCACCCCTAGGTCCTCCCTTCATAAAATTCCAATCTGCTGGAGGGCCCCAGGCAAACCTTCAGATTCCCCCCACAGATGAGGATGGTAACTGAGCCACCCAAATTCCTCCCTTGAGCACCCCCTTATCCCTTTCATCAGCCAGGCTTGGGTTCTATCTCCCCGTCTCTGTGACAACTGCTTCTTGTGACTGGATTCAGGTGACAGTAACAAGGGCTCCATTGAAGAGCTGGGATGTCATCTAATCGGGACCTATTGTCCAGTCTACACAGTGGTGAGGAAGGATGAGGACACCTGATCTGAGACATCTGAGCTACCCCCGAGGCTGTGGGAAGCATGACCCTCCCAGAGCCAAGGGACTGAGGCCCCTAGCTTAGCGGTCCATTCTCCTGCTCTATTCTCCTGCTCTCGCCCAGCCCCTGGAGCTCAAATGACGTCCTGTGCCCTGTCCTTTATCTCCACACAAACTAGCCCTATCCTGCTCCCACTGTAGCCACAGAAAGAGAGCCGGCCTGAGGCAGGCACGGACAGCACCAGAGACACCGCCTTCAGGTTAGCTCCCTCCTTAGAAGCTGTCTCCAAAGAAAAACCTCAGACATTTCCCTCTCCCTTCCTTCTGCCTACCTGACGGAAAGGGGTGGTTTTGCAGAGGAGATAAGCAGAACACGAGGCATGGGAAGCATGCCCCAGAGAAGACAAAATGACATACTGAGGAGAGAAGGAAGCCAGGCATGGCAGCTCACACCAGTAATCCCAGCACATGGAGACAGGACTGCCCACAAGTTGAGGGCCAGCCAGAGCTAGTTCCAGGATAGCCTAGGCTATAGGATATAACCCTGCTATAAATAAATAAACAAATCCCAAGTACAAAAAGATGGAGACATAACCAATTGACCTGGGTTTAATCATCGGTGCCTAAAAAGGAAGAGGCAGACTGCTGACAGGAAGCTGGCAAACAGTGCCAACAACTCTTGAATCTCCCACCTTGACTGCCACAACCCCACACCCCTGAATCAGCTCACCAAAGATAGCAGATTTCTTCCTGGGATGGGCAGCAACCTCAGCTCACTTACAATAACAGTAAAGCTTGCCTATGACAGGCCTGGAAGGTAAAAATAGAGCTAGAAGGCTGCCCGGTCCTGTGTCCACCCATGCCTGCCCCACCCCACCCCACCCGGTCTCTGCCCAGGCAGCCAGGAGCCAGCTACTGCAGAAGTCTGTTGCATGCTCAAGACCGTCACTTTCTATTGCTCCATCTCCATGCCCATCCCTGACTCCCTCTGGAGAGACCAGAGCTAGGCTGATTTACGTGTGCTAGGTCTCTCCCACATTGCCAAATCTCAATGAAAAAGTACAAGGGAGAAGGGACCCATCCTGTAGCTATGTGAGCTGTGAAACCAGGGTCAAGCCTGAGGATCCCCCTTACCCAGACCCCAGATATCCCAAACCTGGTTTACAATTCACTTCCGTCATTGTGGGGTTGGGTAGGTGTGCTGCTGAAATGGGCTCTGAGCTGGAGACTGCCATGGAGACCCTCATCAACGTGTTCCATGCCCATTCGGGCAAGGAGGGGGACAAATACAAGCTGAGCAAGAAGGAGTTGAAAGACCTGCTACAAACTGAACTCTCCGGCTTTCTGGATGTGAGCAAGAGGGTTGAGGTACAGGGTGGAGGAAGGGATGGGTGACCCTGCTATATCCCTGCCTCTCGCCAAGCTCAGCCCAACCAGCTTCCTCTTCCATTCTTTACTAGGTTTTTCCAGGCTCCCTTCACTCCTCCCTGGTAAAGTCAAAACACCCTAGTTTACTGACCACCTGTCAATACTAGGCACTGCAGATTTATCCAGAACACTACCCACATGGAGTCATGGCCAAGCCGTGGTGGAGCGCGCCTTTAATCCCAGCACTCAAGAGGCAGAGGCAGGAGGATCTCTGTGAGTCTGAAGCCAGTCTGGTTTACAGAGTAAATTCTAGGACAGCCAAGGCTACACAGAGGAACCCTGTCTCGAAAAAAAAATAATAATAAAAAATAAAACAGAAAAAGTAAAACCATGAACTGAAAGAAATACAGAACCATAGAACTGGGGCTGGAGAGGTGGCTCAGTGGTTAAAAGCATTGCCTGCTCTTCCAAAGGTCCTGAGTTCAATTCTCAGCAACCACATGGTGGCTCACAACCATCTGTAATGAGGTCTGGTGCCCCTTTCTGGCCTTCAAGCATACACACAGACAGAATATTGTATACATAATAAATACTTTAAAAAAAAAAGAATAAGTTCCTTTAAAGAAGAAGAAGAAGCTCAGAACCGTGGAGGTTAGTTCTCTGAAGCGCATGGCTTCTCTACTGAGGTGGCACGTGAGGTACAGGTTTCCACGGGAAGACTGTAGGTACATTAAGACTTCGTAGGAGGTGTCCATGGGAAAAGAAGCATGGGAGGAAGGGTGGGAAGTAGGCTCAGTAGCTTCCTTTGATTGGAGGATGCAGAGAAGTAGAGACAGACTTCTAGGCTTCATGAAGCTGCGGCCCTGCTATTTTGTTGCTGTATAACTTTTGTTTATACCCCGGCTGTCAATTTGTTTCTTCTCTATAATGGAAGCAGTGAAAATGTCTCCACATTATTTGCATTACTGTTAAAGCCAGGCTTGGTGGCACATATCTGCAATACTGACACTAACAAGGCAGACCCAGGAAGACCTCAGGTGCCAGCCAGCTTGGGTCAAGTGGCAAAAATCAGAGGTTTTGGTTCTTTTGTTTTGTTTTGGGACAGGGACTCACTGTGTAGCCCCAACTGGCCCTGAACTTCAATAGATCACCTGTTTCTTTCCCCACTGAGCTGGGATTAAAGCCATCTGCCACCGAGCCCTAAATTATTTTGTGTATCTTTTGTTAAAACTCTGTAAGGTCTAGGGTAGCACTTGTCACATTGTAGACCATCATGTAAGGCAACTGGTGTTAATATTACCTCTGCTAGTTTCTGCAGGCAAGAGGAGCGCACCAGTCTGTAGTGCTGCAGAAGACTCCCATACATAGTAGTCTCACTTGCTCATTTCTGCCTCTCAACCACTGTGCAGGCTCTAACTTAGTGGTATAAATTTCCATCTTCTCCTTCCACAGGTCCAGAAGGATGCAGATGCTGTGGACAAGGTAATGAAGGAACTGGATGAAAACGGAGACGGGGAGGTGGACTTCCAGGAGTATGTCGTGCTGGTAGCTGCTCTCACAGTGGCTTGTAACAACTTCTTCTGGGAGAACAGTTGAGCACATGGCCCCAGCGGGCAGTGCCCTTCCTCTCCACCTTGTCAGGCTTCCCCCTTTAGCCCATTTCTCCTCACCCCACCTGTCCCTCCCCATGTCTCTATCCTTACCCAGTCTCTCACCAAGGGCACAAGAGTAGTGGTCCAGGTCTGCCGCTCACTTTAATAAATAGGTTTCCCTTACCAGCTGTCAATGTCTGTCTCCTCTGGTCTGAATATGTGTCAAGTATGAGGGCTCACTCCCAACTCCTTATCTTGGAGAGTTTATCTTATTTAAGGAACACTCAAGACCCAAAAATGTAGGGGTCCAAACTTTTAGCTGAAATTGACGTGCCAATGGCTTCTCAAGAAATTATATAAGTAACTGGCAATCCCAGCACTTGGAGGATGAGGCAGAAAGATTCTGAGTTTCAAGCCAGCCCGTACTACATAGCCAGAGCCTAGCTCCAAAAACAAAAACACACAAGCCATCAAAAAACTGAAGAAAATTCAGGGCAGTGGTGGCACACTTTTAATCCTAGCACTCAGGAGGCAGAGGTAGGCAGAGCTCTGTAAATTCTAGGCCAACTTGGTCTATAGAATGAGCTTCAGGACAGCCAGGGATACACAGAGAAACCCTGGGACAGTGGTGGAGGCAAACAAAACAAAACAAAGAAAGAAAGGAAAAAGGAAAATACATCAAAGTCAGCCTTTACAGCCATTTACAGTTCTGAACACAGGGACTGAGTGAGGGGGATTTAGCTCAATGGGTTCGTGGATTGGGGGGTGGGGTGGCTTGAATTAGGGCATGGTGAAGTACACCTTTAATCCCAGCCCTCTGAGGCAGAAGCAAGAGGATCTCTGAGAGTTCAAGGCCAGCCAGGGCTCCACAGTAAAACATCCTGTATAATGGGCTAATCCTAGTTGTCAACCTGACTACTTCTGGAATCAACTAAAACTAAATACTTCTGGAATAAAACTAAAACAGGGCTAGGCACACCTGTGACAGATGATATGCTTTATTGGATAATTCAAGATGAGAAGACCCACCTGAAAACTAGCCACAGCTTCTAATGGCAGCCCATATAAAAGGACACGGAAGAGCTGGTTGTCCACGCCAATAATCCTAGCCCTAGGAAGGCAGAGGCAGGAGGATCTTTGAGTTCAGTTCGATGTCAGCCTGATCTACATAGCTAGTTTCAGGAGCGCCAAGGCTACACACTGTCTCTAAAAACAAAAACAAAAAAGCAACAATAAAAACAAAACATATTGCCTGGCATGGTGGCACACCCTTTAATCCCAGCACTTGGGAACCTGAGGCAGGCAGATCTTTGTGAGTTCAAAGATAGCATGGACAAACCCTGTTTCAAAGAACCAAAACCACACACCACAAATAGGGATGAGTAGAGGGCCAGAGCAAATCACCCAGGCTCTGAGGTTTTAATAAAGACTTTAGAGTTACCTTTTAGAGTTTAGGGATTGGGGATAACAATACAAACATTGCTTCCAATCAAACCTAAACTGCTCTTTGAAATCTGAAAACCCCTCAAAGTGGGGCGTAAACTCGTCCAGAAGGTAATTTATTAGGTACCCTAGCGATTAAGGCCACCGACCACTGCCCAACGGGCGGAGCACCACACCTAACTGCAGGAACCTTCGCCGAGGTCCCTGGGGATTCGCCTGCGATTCCGGCGCCGGCCAAAGCACCTACCACGCCCCTGCTTGCGCGCGCAATGACGCAAGTGCGTCGACGCCATTTTAGCCAGTCACGCTGCACTAATGCCTGGCAGCCATTTTGTTTTGGGCACCAAGCGGGAGTTGGCGGCGCCGGCCTTGGTGACACATACGAAGGGAAGGAAAGGGCAGGCCTGACGAGCGGGAGGAGCGGCCGACTAAGTACCCAGCCGCAAGGAGTGAGCCTCGCGTCATACCGTTTAAGCATCTAACCCAACCGCCCAGCTAGTTGACCCGAGCGGGCCCCATCAGCTCAGCTTCGGCCGGCCCTCGGCCCGCCCGCCGCAGCCGTGGTGGCAGCCCCGGGAGGAGCGCTGGCGTCCGTCTCCTTCGGTGAGTTTCTGCGGGGAAGCCGAGGCGGGGCGGCGCGGGCAGCGGGCCGGGCGGCGCGGGCGGCAGGTGTGGACCGAGCCGCGGGGCGCGCAGGCCGGGGAGGGGGCGGAGCCGGGAGGCGGGGGCTGAGCCGGAACCGCGGCGAGCGGGCGAGCGGGCCGGCGGCGTCGGCGGTGTTGGCCCCGCTGGTCCTGTATGGTTCCGGTGGTTTGGTTCGGGGTTTTCGGTCCCGAGCCTTGCTTATCTAGACGAGCGCCCACGCCGGAGCCCCAGCCCCCCCCCAGAGTGGTGGTGGTGGTGGGTAGGGGTAACAACGGAAATAAGCAACTGACCAGTGGCGTCTTGAGAGGCTTTGAGAATGGGATGGAAGGTTAAATAAATGTAAGGACTACGGGATTTAGCGGCCGCTCTAGGTGTTTGGTTTTGCGGCACCGAAATGGGACCCCCAAACCCTGCTTTGGCTAGACAAGCGCTCCGAGTTAACGTCCCCAACCTCTTATTTTTATTTATTTTAAAAAAAACCTTTAGTTTGAGGCAGGACCTCTCAAGTAACTCAGGCTAGCCCTGAGCTTGGCCATCAGGTCTGGCTACAGTTAGATTCTGTGGCGTGCTTTTCAGAGAGCTCTCAGGTTGAATACCCGAAGTAAACCTTTTCTGACTTTACCCTGCCGTATCTTACTAGAACTCCACTTGCATTCGGAGTTGAAAATCGGTTTTGAAATCAGGCATTTGTTCCTTTTGATTTGTCTATGTGAGAGAGAGTTCGTGCCTCAGTGTCAAGTGTAATCCACAATGACCTCACCCTTCCCCTGTCTCAGATGGGAATTGAATTTAGGGCTTCATTAGTGCTAGACAATCCCTGCACGCTGAGCTGTGTTAAATTCCCGGCTCCTGCACGCTTCCTGATCCATGTCTTTCAGTTTTCTATAGACACCTAAGATGCACCTAGGTAGCTCTCCCTCCAACCCCAGTTGCTGTTCCCCAGCCCTCGTGGCCAGATTATAGTTTAATTGGTCCAAATCCAGGCATTAAGGTAAATTAAGTTTGGTGTGGGGTCTTTTTCTTTAATATTCCTTGGCTAAATCAGTCTAGGATGAAAAGAAGAGTGAAAGCCAAGCTCCTAGGCCTTGTCTACATCTGATTCTGCCATTTTGGAGGCTTTGGCAGACATTGTCCATACTGGGGCTTTGACATTTTAATAAATTGACAGACTTGTAATGTAAACTTAAGTTCTTAAAATGAATTTTTTTTTTTTTTTGGTTTTTCGAGACAGGGTTTCTCTGTGGTTTTGGAGCCTGTCCTGGAACTAGCTCTTGTAGACCAGGCTGGTCTCGAACTCACAGAGATCCGCCTGCCTCTGCCTCCCGAGTGCTGGGATTAAAGGCGTGCGCCACCACCGCCCGGCTTCTTAAAATGAATTTTAATATGATCTTCAAGAGTTTGTAATATAGGCCAGCCTTTCCGTGGTTTATGCCTTGTTCTTCAGGAGACTGTAATCAGCTGGGCTCAGGCCTTTTAATCACTTGGGTGCAGAAGTAGCTGGTCTACTGGTCGAGTTCCAGGACGACCAATGCTACACAAAGGAGCCCCGTCTCAAAAAAAAAAGCCAAAAGAAAAAAAAGGAAATAAAGAAAACAAGATCTTGATTATTCTGATTTAATTTATTCATTATGCATATTGTCCTTTGTAGATTCTCGGGATTTGAAGATGGCTGCTCAGTCGGCGCCGAAAGTCGTGCTAAAAAGCACCACCAAGATGTCTCTAAACGAGCGGTGAGGCAGCCAACAGCAACTTCAGCTCCTTCCTAAGGAAACAGTACTTAAGTTGGCCCTGGGGTCCAATAACAAAAACCAGTTGTAAGCTAAATAACAGAAGGCTTCAGACTTCTGTTCTTAATTGCATCTAATGTGGTACACAAAACAAATTGGGCGGTTGTTTCAAAACCCCTTATCAGTAGATAAGCTGTCTGAACTATTTACCTGGTGGGATATATTTTTTTGAAGGACTCCTCACACTGCTCTTTTTTTAAACACTGATACAGGTGGTGCAGCATGGTGATACGGTGTATCCTGGCTGCAGTAGGCTTGCTGCCTAGTCCAAGACCAGCAATGTTGTGTCTGGCCTGTAAGAGGCAGGTAGCAAGCCGTAACTATGTCCAAAGGCCCCTGAATGTCATTCTTGGGCCTTGTAAGAGGCACTTGCTTTGCTCCATTTCACTTTCTTTCCATTCTGCTTTTTAGTTTGTTTTGTTTTGAATTCTTTTGACAGCCGTGTGTTTTCTTCCATAAAACTTAACAGAAATGATAGAATGTCCTCATAGGCTCTTAAGTGGTTGCATTAATTTAAATTTCTCAGAAGTACTGAGTTAGAAAAAGTGATTATTTGAAGACTGAGAAAAATTTATTTATTTAAAGGCAGTTTTTGTTTCTGAGAGTTTCATTTATTTGGTGTCGTTCACCATTTTATCATGTTGTTGCTAGAAGTTCCAAGACATTTAATGTCTGTTTTTGCTTCTAAAGCAAATGTACTTCTCTGCTCATATTTTAAGATGTGATACGTTAATTACCTCTGTTCGTGTGTTACTAAGTAACATGTTAGAATATAATAAATTTACATAATTTGTCTGTACTATTTCAGTGGACTTTAAAGGTGGTTTTTCCTCCTGTTTGTCCTTAGAATGAACCCTTCCCTCTCCAAAGGTGTAGGCATTTTGTTTGTCTTTGTAACTGCATCTCTGTCTCTTGTCATCATACTTGCTTAATGCGTGTTTTTCATACTTTCCACTTCTCTAAGAGCTGTTATCTGAGCCCTTGTTATCACTTTTAATTGTGCTGCACTTGACTGCATTCTGAATTTCTGGTTCTTGCAAGTTTGTGGAAACAGAGGAGTCTTTAACCCACATCCACCTTGATCCAAATGTGCCACTTTAAAGTTCGTGGGATCTGGAGCTCCTGGTCTAGCAAGCCATGAAAATGCCAATAAGTGTTTTATAATAAAGCTTTTATTTAAACACCCATTTTGTTCGACCTTGAAGCTTTACTAATATGCTGAAGAACAAACAGCCGATGCCAGTGAATATTCGGGCTTCGATGCAGCAGCAGCAGCAGCTAGCCAGTGCCAGAAACAGAAGACTGGCCCAGCAGATGGAGAATAGACCCTCTGTCCAGGCAGCATTAAAACTTAAGCAGGTGAGAGAATGTGTTTTGGCAGTCTGTCAGGCAGTCCACCAAGGCTGTCAGGATATAATGGATGATTAGAAGATGGCTCAGGCAAAAGCTGAAACTTCTCTGAACAAATGCTCAAAGAATTCCAGTTTGGGCAGGTACCAATTAAGTAACTTTTTTTGGTTTTGTTGTCTTTTCTTTTCGGGACAGCGTTTCTCAGTGTATCCCTGGCTGTCTAGTATTCACTCTGTAGATCAGGCTGGCCTTGAACTCAGAGATGCATCTGCCTCTGCTTCCTGAGTGCTGGGATTAAAGGTCTGTGCCACCACCACCCGGCTTAAGTAACTTTTTAGTACTTTTTTCCCTTCGGGAGTTTTGACACCTCTGTAGGTTTATCAGTGAGAATTAATTGATTGTTTTCTGATCCTTGCTCTTGAAATAGAATTTTTTTTTAATCTTTTTCTACAAAGAACTTTTATTTAGTCTGGGAGTGTTGTTCATTGGTAGAGCACTTTCCTAGCAAGCACAAGGTCCCCCCTGATTGAGTTCTCACCACTTCCCAAAAAACAGGAGAATAATCCCAGCACTCGGGAGGCAGAGGCAGGCGGATCTCTGTGAGTTCGAGACCAGCCTGGTCTACAAGAGCTACTGCCAGGACAGGCTCCAAAGCCACAGAGAAACCCTGTCTCAAAAAACCAAAAAAAAAAAAAAAAAAAAAAAACAGGAGAATAACTTTGTTTTAGTTGCTTAGCTATATATAAAATGATTTCCAAGCTAGAATAATCTTAGTCTTCCTAGTGCAGAGTCTGAACGGCCTGGGTCTAAGGTTTTCAGTGTTTTTACATCACAGTAGAACAAGCATACAGGATGATCAAATGTTAGTTCTCTTTCACATTTCCAGTACGAGGTAATCCTGTTCAGGCCTGAAATAAATCCTGCTCTTTATTATTCGTAGACTTTATATGCAAGTCCGGAGAGTGGCTGTGGAAGGATATGTCCAAGCTGTGGCTGGGCGTCCAGAGGGCGGTGCCATGCAACTGTAAGGACTTTAACTGGTAGCACTGCATGGCTGTGCATAGAATCAGCACTTATAACACCCACCCCTCACTCTGAACCTTTGGGCTCACTGACTGAAAATAAGCAAGGCTTTCTGCTTTGTCTACCTTTCAGCCATGGAGTGGTTAGGTTCATCCGTGACTCAGGAGAGCAATAAGCCATAGGCCCACCATTTTCAAAGAATAAATAAAATTTATGACATCTCTGATAATGCTGTGCCAGGTCCTTTCAACAGGCTAATCTCTAAAGCAGCAACAAACATGAGCATCAGCATTGGTGGGACGCTCTGAATCTGTTCAGTAGCCCTATGTCCTGTGAAGAACTTGCAGTGTGGCTCGTGCAATGGAGGGGCTTTTTTTCTTCTACTTATGTTAAGGCCAGATGAAGGGTATACAGTGGTTATCTCAGAATTTAGAGGCATTATGAGTTCAAGGCCAACCCAAATTTTGTTTAGTTTTTGGTTTTTGTTATTGTTTGGTGTGCTTTTGAGGCTAGTGTCTCAATATGTAGCTACTACTAGCCTGAACTCTATATGTAGACCAGGGTGGTCTCAGACTCACAGAAATGTAACTACTTGTACCTCCAGAATACTGGGATTAAAGGTGTATGCCACCCACCACACCCAGATCAAACACTAAATTGTTTTTTTAATTTAAGTATATATATGTATATGTATATATGTGTATGTGTGGTTAGTAGCTACTTTATTATGCAGCACAGCTCTGGAGTAAAAACGGAGTAGTGCTATGAGTATTCTATGAGTGTCCAGGATGGGTAGAGACTGAGGATGGAGACGGACTCCCCGCTCTACTGTTCAGGAGAACGAGTATACTCAGTAATTGAACATGAGAATGCAGTTGTTACTTCATAGCTGTGTGCTAGTGTCTGGAGGTACAGTTCAGTGGTAAAGTATATGAATTTCATGCCCACGCACCACAAAAAATAATTACTGTGGTAATTGGGGGAGTAACAAGACAGGCCCTTGAGGTCGCTTTCGCCTGCCTGTGCTAAGTGCCTAATGATAAGAGCCTTTCTCCTCTAATTGGAAGCATTTTAAGATTTTGTGTCTGAAAGCTAATGTTTCAGCATCTTTTGCAGAGCTCTTAATTGAGGGAAAGTGTATATGCACAGGCATTTGTATTTGTCTGTGCCATTAGTGTGTGACAGAAGTGGATTGTGTGCAAGAAGACCATTTTCATTAATATTGACTGGCTTTATGGAAGACCAGAATGCTAGTCTTGGTTTTATTCGAAGCTGTATTGTCTCCTTTTCCTTTGAAGAAATCTATCTGAGATGTGATCTTCAGAGCCTTTGGAGAAACTAATTATTGAAAATTAATATATCTAGTATGTACTTATTCTCTGTGTGGTCCTTTGTGGTTAATAGATTACTTGTTTTAACATGAATTTAACTGACTCTCTATGAAGATACATTTGGATTGTGTGTTCAAGGCCATTCTTCTGGCTTAAGAAAACTGTTGGCAATGGGAAATGTGGAATTTACAGATTTTTAAGAAATGAGAGGATTGTTGATTTTGTTTGTTTGTTTATTTGCATCTTAAGGTAAAAAAAAAATAAAATAAAAAGGATCGTCTGGCGATAGATACTCAAAGGAAAACTGGAACACACTGGCCTCTTTGACTGAGAAGCCAATCTTGTCCTTAAGTCTCAAGAATTCAAGTGAACTTGTAATTTAAGTTTACCAGAATGTGATGCACTTCCAGTGGTGTGTGAGTAAGCATTTCCAAACAGTGTAGTTCTTGGGCAGGTATGGATGAAGACACGTGATTGTCAACCTGTGGCTAAGAAGCATCAGGTTTGCAGCTACTGCTGTGTGACTTGAGTAGTCATTTTAGTAAGGTTGTCTGCGCTGATGCCAGTGTTGTACACCATGCTAGAACTTCTAGAGCTTTTTTCTGGATCAGAATTCTACTTTATCCATATTTTGAGGTAAATAGGTCTTTTTTGTTTGGGATTCTATGTTACTCACAACAGGCTTATACCCTCCACACCAGGTGCCTCACTTGCCTCTTTTGTCCCTATACTTTAAACTGCCTAATCCCACTGAATTGCTTTTTTTTGATCTCAATCCTCTAACACCTTTTTTTCCAGAAGAGCTTAAAGCAGCGCCTGGGTAAGAGTAACATCCAGGCACGTTTAGGCCGACCCATAGGTGCCCTGGCCAGGGGAGCAATTGGAGGAAGAGGCCTACCCATAATCCAAAGAGGCTTGCCCCGAGGAGGAGGACTACGTGGGGGACGTGCCACCAGAACTCTGCTTAGGGGCGGGATGTCTCTCCGAGGTCAGTGTTGTGTGTAGCTGATAGTGGTTGGATTCTATCCTCTTCCCCTTTCTCTTGAGCTGCTTATGGTCATATTTGTTTAGCATCTTTAATCCTAAATTTGTATTAATCTAATTAATAACTTTTGAAATCACATTTTTAGTATGCTGCATGTGTTTTATCGATATCATTCCTTTTCTGATAATGTACAATGGTGAGAGGCTATGACCTGCATAGCAACAGGTAATTCATATCATCTCCATTCCATTTGAAAACACCTGCTGCTGCTTGAATCAAAGCACATTCAAGTTCTGGAAATAAATCTTAAGAAATGTGTGGTTAGCATGTGCGAGGCCCTGGGTTGAATATCCTCAATACCAAGAAAAAAAGTATGGGTCTTTTGACCTGTGTCATGACTAACTGACTGCCTTCCTGAAGCGAAAAACTATTAATCTGGAAGAAAGGGGACAGTTTGATCCATAGTGTCTACCTATCTGTATCATTCTCTTGGGACATGTTACCATGTTCCCTTTGTAAAGTTCTTACCCCTCAAGAATATATTGAAAACAGGAATTAACGTTTATTTTTAAATCTACCATAATGCCAGGCATCTGATGTCAGCTTCTTAAATTCATGAACTTAAGTCCCAGCTTTTTTTCCCCAAAGATGGCTATGATCAGAATTACTAAATTGAATAAACTGCTTAATCTGCTCACACACACTGTGCAGTTTGCCCCACCCAGACTAAACATTAACTAATTATTACTATTTAACCCTCACCGCCTTCCTTTGGTTAGAATCTACTTTGTCTCTCTTGGATTTACCTGCATATACATTGTATGCCTCCTCTCCAAGGTCAAAACCTGCTCCGAGGTGGACGAGCCGTAGCTCCCCGAATGGGCTTAAGAAGAGGTGGTGTTCGAGGTCGTGGAGGTCCTGGGAGAGGGGGCCTAGGGCGTGGAGCTATGGGTCGAGGCGGAATCGGTGGTAGAGGTTAGTCAGCTACCAACTTCAGAGAGTAGCTCCCCTTATTTTCCTCCCTTCAAAACTCAGAGCCACCTTTCTGCACAGCTTCAAGTCAGGCAGGCTTGTTTGTTTGTCTTGTTTGTTGTTTTAAATCTGGCTTGTTTTCTAAATTAACATGCTGATAATGCAAAGGTCTGTTAGGATTAACAGTCAGATACATTTTCCAGAGCCACATTTTAGCATTCTCCAGGTTTTTAGAAATTTAAATTGTTTATTAAAATGATGCAGTGACTGGCTTGGAATTTTTCCTTTTTCTGTATCTACCTGTTGTTGCCACCACCACCACCATTACACACCCATTCTATAGGCCAAAGCCAGTTTAACGGAGATAGATGAAGTGGAACTGAGGTGAAGCACAGTGAACACTTACTGGCTGGGTTCAATCTTACACCCCTAGAAACAAAGTAAGAGGGAGGTGAAGGATGTAGCTCTATGCTTAGTCTGCATGAGACTCCAGATCCAGTCCAACAGTGCTGTGTGGTAATGGGATGAGACCTGCCACCTGTTGTTGGCACTGAAACCAAGGATTTATGTAGGATTTATGAAGAACCAAACAAAGTTTTCCTGATCGATGCTGAAAGATGTGTTTCTACCAGTTAGCCAGCTGGCTGTTGTTAGTAATCTTACCTTGGTGCCTTGATTCTTGTCTTGTGAGATCATGGACCAAATCAGAAGAGTTTAATGACGGTGGTGTCAGTACCAAATTTCATGGGAGGTTTTCTGGCTTAAGAGTTTAACAAGAAACTCCCAACACCTACCTGTTGATGGATTGAACAACTTACTCTAGTAATCTCTATAGATAATTGTTCTTGTTCTTTCTAAAGTGTGGGATAGGTCTTCATAATCCACAACATTGATGGTGCTGAAGAATAACTTAGGACATTTGATAACAAGGGTGTATTTCTTTCTCGGCCATTCTGTGTCACTTGGCTTATTGAATGAAGTATGAACTTGTATGGGTTTCAGGATTTCCAGATTTCCAAGACAGTTTCCAGATTGTCATGACATGGTTTCTGAGAGAGATTTCAGAGGTTAGGAAAGACTAGTCGATTTTGAGAAAGCTGAGTGTTAGGTTACTGAATTGAAATTATTTCTCAGATAATAGTTGTCCTAAGGTGACCAGTCAGAGAAGTAGCAGCTAAGTTTTTTCTCTAGAATAACAGATGAGGTGATACAGAAGAATACTGTGAATACCCTGGATTCTCTGTGCCCTTTTTACTGCCTCCTAACTAACTAGGATTATATATTTTAATTTAATGTATTTTAATTATGAACTTAGTAAGTTCCAAACTTTTGGTGGTTCCTTTGTCTTAGGAATCTTTGCTAATGTTGTTTAATTTTTTTCAGCTAATTATACACGCCTATAATCCCAGCAACTGGGAGGCTCTTGTTTTTGAGACAGGGTCTCCTGTAGCCCTGACTGGCCTTGAATTTATGATTCTCCTGCTTTTGCCTCCCAGATGCTAGAATTACAGGTGTTCGTTATGTGGTGCTGAGGATTAAACCCAGGGCTTCGTCCATACTAGACAAGCACCCTACCGACTGAGCTACACTCCTGCCCAGAAGTGCAAGTTTAAAATAAGGCTAGCTGGTCTGCATGGCAAGACCCTGTCTCAGAGTGGGAGGGGCAGATTTTTTTTTTCTTTTAGTAGCATTTAAAGATGAATACATAAGAGGGACTCATTGTGTGTGCTTTCCATGTATTGCTTTCTACCCAGTGTGTTTTTTGTTTTTCCATACTTCTCCTCTTTACCCTGAGCTCATCTCAGCTAGGCCCCCAAAGTATAACGGGGCACTTTTTCTAGGAACCATCAAACCTATGTGTAACTATCTTCTTTATTTTTTTTTTCTTTTTCGATTTGGCCAGGTCGGGGTATGATAGGTCGGGGAAGAGGGGGCTTTGGAGGCCGAGGCCGTGGCCGTGGCCGAGGGAGAGGTGCCCTCACTCGCCCTGTATTGACCAAGGAGCAGCTGGACAACCAACTGGATGCGTACATGTCAAAAACTAAAGGACACCTGGATGCGGAGTTGGATGCCTACATGGCACAGGCAGATCCTGAAACGAATGATTGAAGCCTGCCTGCCTACCCACTGTTAGACTCTTGTTAAAGTCACCACATCTATATAAAAAAAAAAAAAAAAAACAAAAACAAAAAAAACAAAAACAAAAAAACCTTGAGAAAACATGAGAAGAAATCTGATTGATGCTGGAAGGACCTATCACAATAGGTTGTGGACTTGCCTGCTACCAGATGGGGCATTTAGTCTGTTCCGTCTACTTTTTGATACTGTGTTACATGAAACCCTATTTTCCTTTGATTTGGTTGAGTTTGTTTTGTTGTTTATCCAGTCACCCAGACTTCTATTTCAACAGGAATGCGTTGGCTTTGTGAGTAGAACTTTTTTCCAGTCTGCTTCACCTGCCATGTACGCTGTCATTTTAATATTTCTTCTGTTCATCTTTATAATCCCAGAAAAAGTTCCCAGAAGGAGCCAGTGGGCTCTGGGATAGAATTCTACATCTTCCTTAAAAGCTTTCTGGTCGTAGCTAAAACTCTATAAAGGTGTGTGTCTGCTAGGTTGATGGTGAAGTGGTCATTTGGAGATGCTGCTCCTGCTGCTGGGCCAGGAAAGGCTTACACGAGGTAGCACTGGGTTTGCTCATTGACATTGCATATGTGGCAGCTGACTTTTCTGAGGTGGATATGTACAGTTTCCACCCTAAAATAAGATTTTTAAGTTTTTTTGGCTTTGTGTCATGTCCAAGAGACCTGTACACATTTAGTATAGAAGCCATTTGATGTGGCAGAAGATACAAGGGTGGGAGACTGTTTACAAACTAACTGCTGGGAATACTGAAATGCAGTTACCTATGTCCAGAACCAATCTTGGTCTAATCCACATAACTGCCTTTATTTGACCCTCTTGAAGGTTTAATTTCAACTATGTTTTGTCAGCTGTTCAGTTTCAGTGGAATCTTGTATTTCTGGTTCATTATAACAAATTGTTCTCTCAAATTCAACTCAAGCTTTCTGTTTATTTTTTGAGTTCCTTAAAATGGCCATATAACCAATTTTTGTGGTGTATTAATGTACCTTTTATAGTTGAAAATTCTCGTGTTAAAATTCTGGGGGTGGGACCCTCAGTGGTGTTGAATGCATTTAATCTCAGGAGAGGCAGGCAGGTTTCTGTGAGTTCCAGTACAGCCAGGGCTACACAAAGAAAGCCGGGCGGTGGTGGCGCATGCCTTTAATCAATCCCAGCTCTCAGGAGGCAAAGGCAGGCAGATCTCTGAGTTCGAAGCCAGTCTGGTCCACAAAATGAGTTCCAGGCCAGGCACCAAAGCTACAGAGAAACCCGGTCTTGAAAAACAAAACAAAAAATAATCCAGGGTGAGGGCAGTAAAACTTTTGCTTTCTTTTGATTAAGCCTTTGGAAAGGATTACCCACCTAGAAAGTACTGCTGTATTGGTGCATGGCCGTTTCTTTTTTTTTTTTAATTTATTTGAACTTTATTTTATGTGCATTGATGTAAAGGTTCAGCTTCCAGGGAGCTGAAGCTACAGGCAGTTGTGAGCTGCCATGTGGGTGCTGGGAATTGAACCCGGGTCCTCTGGAAGAGCATTCAGTGCTCTTAACCGTTGAGCCATCTCTCCAGCCCCCATGGTACTGTTTCTTTTTTCTGTTTGAGAAAAAAGATGTTTTAAGAGCCAGGAAGGGCGTACTGAACATACTCCTCTACCTTGAATCCTTACTTGCTTGAGGTCTCTGGAGAGTCTGAGGGGCCAGGCAAGGACTTTGGTGTGTAGGAGGCTGGTACTTGGGGGTAGATCTCAGCAAAGGAAAATGACTCTAGGCCCCCTTTCTACCCCTATCACTCCTACCTCATGAAGAGGTTCAATTCCTCTACCAGCCATAGGCCCTTTAGCCCCACCTGCTGCATACAGCTGCGGGGGAGGTCTCTCCTAAGGTTTGTTTCTGCCTCTGCCGCCCTCATGGTCATGCCCCAGCCGGGCCAGAGCGAGCCTGACTCCTGAGCCGCCATCTACTGACGACTTGCCTTCCAGAATCAAACAAGGCCTCATTGTGTCACAAGTGCACTGCGAGCCTAGGCGGAAGATTTGATCAGTGGAAGCTTTACTGAAATTTGAAGCTGAAGAAAGTTAGCTTAAAGATAGGGCAAAAGGATCCTTTGTAATCCCAGCACTCTGGAACTGAGGCAAGAGGCTTACATACAAGTTGGGTCGAGTCTGGGCTATGTGTCAAAAATTATAAGATGAGGCAGTAAGCGTGCAGTTAGAGCAAATTAAGTATCTTGGAGCCATATGTGTGCCTGAGAGATTTGTGTGTTTTGTCTTTGTATATGTGTCCACCATGTGTGCCTGTTACAGTAAGGTCAGAAGTAAGCTATCAAATCACCCAGAACTAAAGTTACAGATGGTTGTTAGCCACAACAGCTGAAGCACTGCCCCCATTCAAATATCACAGTCCTGTGGGAGATGGGGCAACAGGGACAAAACCCTAGCTACCCAGTCACTATGGTAAGAGCCCTAAAGTACCTCCTATCCTTGGGTGTCTTGGGACTTTTAGCACTAATGCCTATTTTCTGGCAACCAAGCAGCAGTCACACTGGCTCTGAGAGTACAAGAGGCAGGGCTAAGAAGGCAAGGGCCCTAAAATGCCTGGGATCTGGAGAGGGCCACACTTGGCCTCTATCTCCTCTTCCTGCTCAGCTGAATGAAGCCCCAGCTTTCCCATTATCCAAGAGTCAAATTTTCTTTTTTTTCCTTCGAGACAGGGTTTCTCTGTAACAGTCCTGGCTGCCCTGGAACTCTTGTCTAGGCCAGACTGGCCTTGAACTCAGCCTCCCAAGAGCTAAGTGTGTGTCACCACTACCCAGCTCAAGCCTCATTTTCATTGCCTCAGATAACCTTTGCAAACATTGTCATGAGAACTCTGGATTCTGGTCCCATACCTCATCCCATGCACAACACTATTAACTAGGAATCCACATCCAGATGTGTGATGGTCTGTTTTGTATTTTGAGATTTGATTTTTGTTTTGTTTTTTGAGATGGGGCTTCACTGTGTAGCCCTGGCTGTTCTGGAACTCACTCTAGACCAGGCTGGCTCGAACCCAGAGATCTGCCTGCCTCTGATCCTGGGAATGAAGGACTAAAGGCATGTACCACCACTGCTGCCTGGTGGTAAAACTAGTTCTTTTTTTTTTTTTTTACTTATGACAAGACCATTTCTAATCATCCATTCCCGGTTACCAATGAGGACTTTGTACTGCTGAGTATCAACAGCATCTAGAAATACAGAAATAACATTTAGTGAGCTTATTTAACTTTTTTTTTAAATGTTTATTTATTTATTATGTATACAATATTCTGTCTATGTGTATGTCTGCAGGCCAGAAGAGGGCACCAGACCTCATTACAGATGGTTGTGAGCCACCATGTGGTTGCTGGGAATTGAACTCAGGACTTTTGGAAGAGCAGGCAATGCTCTTAACCACTGAGCCATCTCTCCAGCCCTAAAACTAGTTCTTAATAATACAGCATAAACTGACCTTGAACTCATGGTCCTACCTCACCCTCCTGAATGTTGGGATTACAGGTCTGTGCCACCATGTCTGTCTTGTTTCCACAATTTTTTCGCTTGATATGCCAATGGGGTGGTTCTGGTGCCCTCTGCTTACTATAGATGGCAGAGTGGCTAGGGATGGAAGTTCTCACTCTGGGTGGGCTCCAACTCCACACCTTAGCTAATGATTCAACGAAGCATGCTGGGGATCCAGGCTGACCACATTGCTCAGGGGCAATGTAAGGATAGAGGGATAATATAAAGTAGGCCAAAATAACACATAGATGATGTGGAATTCCCCTCTGTATGCTATAAATATGTTTTATTTCCATTGGTTATTAAAGAAGCTGTTTAGGCCAATGGCTTAGTAGAGTAAAGCCAGGCAGGAAATCAGAACAGAGATTATAAAATAGGCGGAGTCAAAGAGATGCTGTATAACTGTCGAAGCAGACAGACTCCAGATCCTTACCAGTAAGCCACAGCCTTGTGCGAATACATCGATTAATGGAAATGGGTTAATTCAAAATGTAAGAGCTAGCTAGAAATATGCCTAAGCTATTGGCCAAAACAGCTTTATTAACCAATGAAAGCATCACATATACAGAAGAACATCCCACATGAGGGGATGGAGGCAGGCCAAGGGCAATTGTGCTGATGGCAACAAACGCCCAACAGGTCCAGGCCATAACTGAGGGGTGTTTTGATGCCTTTTAAGGGACTCACTTCATCTAAGTTTGATTTGTGTTTAGCTTTTTTACCTTATCAGCTCAATATAAACATCCATGGGAAAGGGATGCAATGAAAAAGCTTTCTGGAAATTTGATGGGAAGGGTTCTCCCAAAATGCCCTACAATCTTAAATTCACTCGCACATTCTCTAAAGGGATGAAAAAAAACAGGCTTGAGAATGGATGAGGGAAGGCCAAGGCCAGAAACACAACTTCTTTTCTCATCCTTTGTGATTAGCAGGAGTCCTTAGCAGCTGAGATTTCACCCAAGTAGATGGCTACTCTCCAGGAATAGCTGTCAGTAAGCAACTAGAACCACAAACTGCCTGCCTGACTCTGTTTAATCCTTTCCAAAGCTCACCCTTCACTCTTTAAGCCCCTCCACTCAAATGCTGGGTACCTTAAGTTCTGGTCTCCTAGAAGAGCAAGCCCGGAATATCCACATCCTTGTTCTTTGGACTTGTCAAGAGACCTGATGCTGAAGTCCTTGGGTAAAGCTAGGCATCATTCTTGTGCACCCTCCCACAAGTGCACATCGTCTCACCCAGGTGAAGTACAGGGTACAGGTAGCCTCTAGGTAGAGGCACTGTTTGCTACCTGAGCCAACACAAGTATTTCTGCAAAGCTACCTTATGCACCTACCTTAAGGCAACCAAGACAAGTTAGGCAAGTCAGCCTAACCACTATTGAAGGAGTGGGTAAGTGAAGTCAGAAGAGGGAGCTTGAAGTGAGGCAGGGCCAGACCCTCCAGGACATACACTAAAGCGTGGAGGCACTGGGCTCCATCAGCATCAGCACAGCTGATGAGAAATATAGGCAGAAGGGAAGGCTGACCATGAGAGCACAATTAGGTTAGCAGGGTATACTGTGCATGAGTCTGCTTACAGGTTTGTTTGTGTCAACTGACCCACTACTTTATACACTGAGTCTGGAGGAATCATCCCTGCCATGATTGGGGAGAGAGGCACTGGATTGAGGTTGTTGGGGAGCAGTGGGGTTACCTAGCAGACCATTGGTGTTGGAAGAAGTCCAAAGACACTTGTTCAGGCTGAAGGTGACTTGCTTGGGTAGTTCTGATACAGGGGATTCTTGAGTTAAAAGTCAGGAAGAAAATGAAATGTGACGTTGAAGAACTGAGGCCCAAGTTGGAGGCTAGGAAGTCAAAGTCACCCAAGATGGAGCCCCTCCACCACCTGGACTTTAAGCAGCTGCTGGCATTGTGATAGGTGATGGACAGTACCTATGAGCCCTCTGCCTAAGCAATGGCAGCAGATCATCACTGACAACCTCAGTGGAGGTCCCACCGAGATCAGGAACTAGGGATCACTGAGAGGGAATGGTGAGGGTGGATTAAAGATTGGTATGTGTGTTTTCATCCCCAGAGACACTCTGAGGGGTGCCCTCCGAAACAGGAGGTCAGAGGGTGAATTGAAAGGCCTCAGAAAGGAAAAGTTAGTAAAAAGAGTACAAAAGAAATGAAAAAAAAAAGACAGAGTATAGCCTCAGAGACGAAGGAAAAGGGTAAGTTTAAAAGAGACAGATTAAAAGGAGTACCCCCAGGAATGCAGCACTCCCGCTCAGCAGGAAGCAGCCAGATAGATCGACAACGCCCAAATTCCCTAAAAAATTGTTGAAGAAAAGAAAAAAGGGATGAGATATTGGGAGCTGTGAACCCCCCAGATCCTGAATTTCTGGTAAACAATTTGT